ATGCAGGGAAATATGAATGCAAATGATTTAGTGCATTTAATTTTGCACGAACGTTTGCATAAAAAAAATTATGTCAAAAGGGTCGCTCGATCGCAAATAATTGTTTAAAAGTGTCAAAAGAGGCAAAGTTCTAGAGAAAATATAAAAATTTTACAAATTCTTGTGTTGTTTTGGAAACTGCTCTGATGTACGATGAACCTACGATCTTTATCAACCTGAAACCAAAGAACTTTCAAAATAAGAGGTAGAGCATAAGCCGCAAGCACACATTGTTTCATCAAAATTTAAAAAGAAAAATAGCTAGTTAGTATTATGAATTTATCAAATAGTCAATTTCTCTAATGCCAAGTTAATTTTAAAGGGGCGGCATTAAATATTAATACTGTAGTTTTGCAAAAAATCATTCTAAGCGATATTCTTAAGAAACAGTAGTCCTAGCAAGTGAAGTTTTAAGATTTCTGAAATTGAAAAACTGATACAAAATTCAATAACAATTTGAATTTTAATGTATTAATGATATCTTTGTATTTTCCAGACTTACTCCTGTTTACCGTATGGAAGTGTTGCATTTCATCTGACTGTCACTCTGTCCAATATCGCCAATCCTCTCTGCTGTTTCCTTGCCATGTTTCTACCAGTTACAAAAGTGTGGTCAGTTACTGGAGTAGCAATCTATGCAAGTGCTTGGGCAGGATATATTTTAACAACAGCCCTCACGAGCCCAGAGCCACCTTTTGTCCACGTTGCCTTCGGAGCTTATCTAGTGGTAAATATTTTGTTCGTGCCTTTTATAGTTAATCTCAATAACTTCAGAACTGGATGCTTGCAAGGGACGTCATCGTAGGTAAATCGTGGTAGATGTCGATTCAGAAGCCGATAAGGTCCGACAAACATACGTGACGTCGCTTACAGGTATCCAATTAAATCTGATTCAAACCACATGGTTAGGCNAAACCACATGGTTAGGCATAATCACTTGACATCTTCTCGAGTTGCAAGCAATACCCATCCTCAGTTTATCAAACGTGTAAATTGAAGGGGAGTTAGATAACTCTGAAATAAAATCAGTTGCTTGTAAATCACTTCTTCTTAAGTTGCAAGTACCGAATTGTGTTAATAACTCTCCTCAGTTTATCAAACGTGTAAATTGAAGGCGAGTTAGATAACTCTGAAATAAATCAGTTGCTTGTAAATCACTTCTTCTCGAGTTGCAAGTGCCGAATTGTATTAATAACTCTCCTCAGTTTATCAAACATGTAAATTGAAGGCGAGTTAGATAACTCTGAAAATAACTTAGTTGCTTGTAAATTAATATTACACGTTTGAACACAAACATTAAAACTTCTTCAAGGGAGATCTGGTTACTTCAAGATCTGGTTACTTTAATTTAGCATGACAAACAAAATTAAAATATCACAAACATTAAACTTCTTGAAAGATGAAATCATGTTATGGCTCAGCTGATCGCATTGATAAGCTTTCCTATTTTAATCACTCCCATTTTTAAGTTGAAAAAAATGTTTCAGCATAAACATCTACATAAATTGAAGTACCACAGTTCAATAAAGGATTTGCTGAATACATTTTAAAGTATGCAATATTTTTCAGGTAACTGCTTGGATAATGGTCTCAGGATCTGTCGCTTATACAAAAGCATGTATAGCTTCCATTCTTCGACGTGCAGGAGGACAAGTTGCTCTGTACCGATGCGGTGTAATGACACAAATAGGATCTGCAGTGGGCGCTCTTGTGACATTTAGTTTGGTGCAATACACAACACTCTTCAAATCATATGACCCATGTAGTTGATGTAATAAGTTCAGGGTAGACAGAACACCCAAAACGGACTTCATTAAGAAGCATATAAACTAAAGGATTTGAAGGATCATTAGTCAGAAACCACCAAACCAGTAAAGATCGCAACAGGAACTGATATTCTGAGTATTTTTGATTTATAAATTGAGGTTGAAGTACATATTGAGCTTTGTGATATTATTTTGACATTCGTTGTCTTTTACGTTGAGGATGTTGGTAAAAATGTTGAAAACTTGCACAGCTTGTATAGTATTACTTTTCGCGCTTGAGAAATATAAAAAATAAAGCGGTTATGAAAATATCTTTC